TTCCATCTCAGAGATGACTGACATCACTCCCATTGCAGCCCAGCCACTTGGGTTACATCTCTTGTGTCCCTGTGGAGGTGGAGGTGTCAGCTCTGTCACCCTCACCCCAGGCCTGAGGCAGATAGAGCTAACAGTGCATGTCCCTACCCCAGTGGGTGCGTCACTTCTGCGTCTGCCCCGGAACTGTTAGATCGTTTCTGACACCTGGTTTGCCCTCTGGTGTGTCCCAAACCCTAAAGGCCCATTGCCTCGGGTGGTGCTGGAAGTAGCAAGCCTGTTTCTGTCCTTGTCATTTGCCCTGAGCTTGAAGCCGAATTAGGGCAACTTCAGCCACTCTAGCCAGACGCATGGACCTAGTTCACTCCGTGCTGCCCTGTGCGGCCCTGCACGGCCCCACCCTTGGTGCCCCTTGGACCCAATCAGGCACATCCAAGAGATTGGGGGCTGAGGGCCAAGGAGCACTGGGTGGACACACACCTGTGACGACATGGCCTGAGTGCTCTGACCCTTTTTGTGACCTGTGGGTGTACTTGGCCGGTCAGCGTGTCTCCCTCACACCCAAAGCCTGAGCGTTTCCCATCTAAACAGGAAGTTTCATTCACCTGCAAGGAACTGGACTTGGCTCTGTTGGCTGGTGATGGGATTGGGGATAAGTAGGGGCAGGAGCCCCAGCTCAGAGTTCTCCCTGCTCTTCTCCCTGGCTTTCCCCACAGTCCCCCTCCGACCCGAGGGGAGAGCGATGAGGCCATCAGGGCGGAGTTTGGAGAGTGACCTCAGCTCCCCAGCGCTGTCCACACTCCAGGGCCAAAGCTAACAGGGCCAAGCTCAGCCCACCAGGGGCCCTGTTCCCGAGAACTTGGTCTTGGCATCGCTGCCTCCCCAGCTGTGCGAATTGTAGTTTCAACCCATGGCAGTCTGAGGACACAGAGCCTGGCGAGGGGAGAAGCTGGGCCTCACTTTCGCTGAGCCTTCAGTCCTTGACTCATCGTTCTTTCAGCGCTGACCTGCATTCCCAGAGCCAACCATAAAAGGCCGTGGCGGCCGTGGACCCCAGGCGGGCCCTGCAGGCTCAGCTGGGTGTGGGCCTGGGCTGCAGGCAGCAGGCGCCTCTCCTGCCCCAGCTTCCCTCCCGCTGCTCCTGGCCTGCCCCTTCCTCTCCCATTTTCTGCTGATCTGTCACTTTCTGGCGTCCCCTCCACAGTGTCAGGGCACCCTGGGGCCTTGTACTTTGGAACCAGCAGTCTGTGGTGGTGGCTGGCAGCAGCACAGGGCTGACCTGGCACTTACTCAGTGCCCTCTCGCTTCTGAGCACAGAGAATCTGGGAACACTGCCGTCTCCGACCTTCGCACAAACCTCTCGAAGGCTGTGGGGCTTCCCTGTCCCCACTAAAGTCCAGTGACACCAGCTAGAGGCCACTGTTCTAACCAGTGTCCCATTGTCCCAGGACCCGAGCAGGAAAATATTTGTAGTCCGACTCTAGGGAGGCTGCCCAGTCCACTGGAGCAGTGGACTTGGGATTTTCCTTATGTTTCAGCCACTGGCCTCAAGGACAGAGCTTGCTGTGCCGAGCGCAACTCCTGACCTAATCTCATGGAACCCTGTCACTCCGACCTGGGCCTGCTCAGCTCACGTGGGCCTTTCCCAGCCAGGTCCCGTGCTGGGATCCTCATGCATTGCCTCATTTAATCCTTCCTGTAATTTTTTTTTTTTAAGAGAGATTTTTGCTATAGGGAATGTGCCTTCTCTGGAGAGACAGAACGATGGATAGTGAGAAATCATCCCCAGGGAGATGGCCATGCCACAGTCCCTTCTTTTCCATTTTCCTCTCTGGATCTTGGGCACACATGCACATGTGCCTGGCTTGAGTTTTAAGCTGCTGGGTACAGGACTCGAACCACAGTCAACTACGTGGGAGTCCAGCGACGTAACTATTACACCATCTGCTAGTCTCTAATCCTCCCTGTAATTCTAGGAGAAGGAATCATTATTTGAGTTTTACCGATTGAGAACATGTAGTCTGAAAGTTAAGAACTTAGGGCTGCCAAGTGATGTGGTCATTAAAACCCTGGACTCCCACGTGGCTGACTGTGGTTCGGTTCTGGACCTAGCAGCTTGCTTTCTTGCTTTCTCTGTCTCTCTGGTCAAAATAAAAAATAATAATAGCAAATGGAATTATTATTATTATTATTTAAGAACTTAGGGTCCCAGAGTCATTGGCTGGAACCAGGAGTTGAATCCAGACCCACTTTATTTAAAAGCTGTGTTCTTCCCTGAGAGCTCTAGTTTCAGGAGAGGCTCAGCACCCAGGCCTTTGGCTTGCAGAGGACTCAGACTTGAACAGTGGCCTGGTAGTGGGATGTCCTCGCTGCAGCCTCGTGGTGTCAGCTGTGCAGCTTCAAGCTGCGTGCATGGAAGCTGCCTCCTGGCTCTGCCTCCTTTATGAGCTGGGGGATGAGTTCCTTAGTGGATCTTTACAAGGGGGCCAGTGAAGGCTGCCCTCCCCAAGTCACTGTAGGTTTCTCTATGCCTAGTTTCTGGTGTCCCTTGAGGATTTCTTCTTTTCTCCCTATTAACCTGCTGTCAATACTTCTCTGTCCTGCCTAGAGAGTGCATGTCCAAATCCCTGACTTGGTCAGGGGGTGGTCAGTGTTTTGCAGGGGTGCTAGGAACAGGCCGGGGAGATGGACAGGGTGTGAGGAGATTGGTTCTGGCCAGTAGCTGGACAGTGTCTCTAACTGCTCTCTAGAGGAATGGCTTCTCTGGCTTATTGTCAGGAACCTGATGCTCTTGGGGAAATACTTCGGGGTTCTTAGGAGAGCCAGCCTACAGTTTGGGTGGCCTGGGACTGTGAATAGCAGGTGAAGAATGAAGAAACAGCCCAGGGCAATAGTGTTGCTCAGAATCACCCGGAGAGGAAGTGGTACCTCAGGGACTCCCCAGAGACTTAGGTCATTGTTTCCACATGGTTTTCTTGTTTCTCCTTAGTGCTCCTGAAAGGTGAGAAACAAAATTTTCACTTCTTCGGAGGTCATCAGAAGAGGTGTAAAGACTTTGAAGAGGCATAGTTGTCATATAGGATATAAATTAAAACACTGTTACAGAAATCCATTTGCTTAAATCTAATAGTTTACATGAAAGAGAATAGTCTAAAGCCACCCTGAACATGCAGCTTTCATCTCAGAACCCAAGGTGGCTGCTCTAGCTCCTACTGTCATATCTGCCTCCCAGTCCTGAGGAAGGGGGAAAATGACAGAGGTCTCATATACCTCGTGTTAATTTCTGCTGCAGGGGAAAGTGGGAGATGATGGGATCTAAAAAGACCACAAACCGAGCTAAGACTAGATAGTGGGTTGTCGGAAAAGTCATGACATATTTTTTACGTTTTTCAGTGCAAAAATAGGTCATAACTTTTCTGATCACCCAATAGTTCTGTTATTAGAGGAGGAATTCCAATTAGCAGTCCCCGCCCCAATGGCACAGTTTATTTTAATTGGTGGGCCTTAATGGACGGATAGGAAGCTGTGTAGAATAGGGTTTGTAGCTGGAGTCTATGAGGTCTAGCCGCTTTGTTTTAGAGAAGTATTTAAGGTCTAAACGGAGGAGTGGTCGGTAGCACTTCATGGGCTTGTTGTAGAGCAGAGATCAGCAAACTCTTTCGGTAAGGGTCAGATAGTATTTTCAGCTCTGCAGACCTTAGAGTGGTAGACAGAAGCAGCCATAGCCAATACAAACAGTGAGCGTGGCCATGTTTCAATAAAACTTTATTTACATCAACAGGTGGTAGCCCAGGTCTGGCTCTCAGCTATAGTTTGCCGATCCCTGTTGCAGAGAATAAATGAGGCACCTACAAAATGGCGAGCCTGTCAGGAAAACACTGAGCAAATAGCAGCTGCTGTTATTATTGCCATTTTTCATTGCTGTGGCTGCCCACGGGCACACAGCTGACAGGTGATAGCCCCTGCGGCTTGCTCTGCCCACCCCGCTGTGCTGGACCACGTTGCTGGGGTCTCCTCCTCACTTCTGCTATAGTCTGACCCACCTCAGAGCTTGGGCTCGTGACTTCTGGGCATTAATACCTCTTTATGCCAGGTACTGCAGGGTGAGGGTGCTACCATTGTAGGTACAAGAAAGGAGCCTGTGGGGACTAGCGGTTAGCGTAATGGCTATGTCGCTGGACTCCCATGTAGTCGACCGCAGTTCAAGTCCCGGACCCGGTGGCTTAAACTCACGCTGGGCGCGTGTGCGTGCGTGCCCAGGATCCTGAGAGGAGAATGGAGGAGAAGGGATTGTGGCATGGCCATCCCCCCGGGGGGTGATTTCTCGCTTTCTATCTCTCTGTCTCTCTCTGTCTGTCTGGTGAGCACATGTGCCCTATAGCAAAAACCTCTCCAAAAAAAGAAAAAAAGAAAAGCACACCCGGCACATGTGCGTGCATGCCCTAAATCCTGAAAGGAGGGAGAAATGGAGGCAAAGGGACCGTTCTCTACAGGGGATGCTTTCTCCGGCTGTGTCTCTGATTGCCATGCCCTCTGGCAAATTAAAAAGGAAAAAAAGGGAAGGCCTCATGATCCTGTCCCAGGGTGCTGTGCTATCCAGATGTACACATTCTGGGACATTTTTTAAAAACGACCAGGCCAGCCTTATAGCCTAGCAGCTAAGGGAGCCAGATCCCACATGACCAACTGTGATTCCCATCCTGGCCCCAGTGGCTTGAAAAACCACACTGGGCCTGTGTGCATGTGCACCCAAAATCCCAACAGGATGGAGAAATGGAGGAGAAGGAATTGTAGCATGCCTACACCCTATGGGGGAGGGTGCTTTCTCTCTCTCTGTCTCTCTGTCCCTGTCTCTGTCTCCCTCTCTCTCTCTGGCTAGCACCACATACCCTCTGACAATTTAAAAAAGAAAAAGAAAAGTGCCCTCAGCCCGAGAGGTGCTGGGCCAGGGCTGTCGGAGTAGCCTGGCCTTGGTGCTAGGAGCTCGCGCTTGTCTTCTGCAGGCTACGACTTTGCGGCTGTCCTAGAGTGGTTCGCCGAGCGTGTGGACCGCATCATCCTGCTCTTCGACGCCCACAAGCTGGACATCTCCGATGAGTTCTCAGAAGTCATCAAGGCCCTGAAGAACCATGAGGACAAGATCCGTGTGGTGCTGAACAAGGCCGACCAGATCGAGACGCAGCAGCTGATGCGTGTGTATGGGGCCCTCATGTGGTCCCTGGGCAAGATCATCAACACCCCCGAGGTGGTCCGGGTCTACATTGGCTCCTTCTGGTCCCATCCGCTGCTCATCCCTGACAACCGCAAGCTCTTCGAGGCCGAGGAACAGGACCTCTTCAAAGACATCCAGTCTCTGCCCCGAAATGCTGCCCTCAGGAAGCTCAATGACCTAATCAAGCGGGCACGGCTGGCCAAGGTAGGCCCTGGGGGTGGGAGGAGTGGCCTGCTGCCAAGCGGGGCCTGGGACTCTGGGTGTGGCCTGAAACCCATCCCTGCTGGTGCAGTCTGGCCCAACTAAGGTTCTTCACGTAACCTCCCTCCCTACCGTATAGCCCAGCTACTTTGAGGATTTGAGCATGTTTACAATGTAGAAACGTCAGACAGGAAGTTAACACTGAAGCAAAGGAGGGGGCCTCAGAAACGGAGGGTGTGGGGCTGTAGCCCTGGTTCCTACTGCCTTTCCCTCCTGGTTTATTGGGCACTGAGGTATGCTCTGCTTGATGCTGGGGACCCAGGGAGTGCCACGCAGCCCCCTGGGTGCTGCCCAGCCTTCACAGGGAGAACAGAAGGTGCAAATGAAAAATAAACAGCCATTATTCGTGTTGTCACCGGGTAAGCACAGGGTGCCGCGGGAGCCGATGGCCGGGGCTGGGGAGGGATGCAGGGAGGGCAGGGGGGCCAGGGGCAGCCGTG